TAAATGTATTTCTATGTACTAGTGTGAAATAAATATATTAGAATTTATAATAAATCAGAATTAAAAATAAGAAAAGAAAATATCAGATAACCTTGTAAAAACATCAAAATGCATAATAAATCAGTAAATAGTCATTTACTAATTTTCTATTGATCTTAGTTTCTTAGCTTTATATGATGGTTGGGAATAAGATAATAGTCTAGAAATATGTATTGATGCTTCTTTTATCATTTTACAAAATATCATTGCATATTTCCACAATGTCTCTAATTTTTACAATATTTCCCCTTGATATTTCCGACATATGTCCTATATTTTGGTAAGTGACATTTCCATCGACATCGACATTTTAAACCTTGGATAGTAGTAAGAAATGATTAGGTGCCAATAATTTAACAATGGATATGATGTTAGATAGAATGGAATGACAAAACAGGATTCATGTAGCCACCTTCATATAGTTGGGATAAGCCTTGGATGATGGTGATGATTTCTTGAATTTTCTTTTGTCATATTGTTTTCTTATTTGATTTTATAATATTTTCAGATAACAAAAAATGAAGCTAGGACTGGAGTCATGCGGCTGATAGTTGGTGGTGGAAGAGCAGCTGAAACTTCTGAGTCTAGGGGAGCTGTTGTTGTTGGTGTTCGAACTCTCAGTGAAGGTGGTCGTGTTGGGAATTTTTCAAGGGAGCAGGTATGACATTATAGTGTTGCAGTCTGTGAAGGTGCGTTGTGTTGTTAAAATAACATTTTCTATGACATAGCTTAAACTCGATATTTTCTCTCTATATATTACTTCCTGGCAAGTCCTTGGTTGTATAGGGTAAGTCCTTTCAATCTTCTCAGAAATTAAGTGTATTGATGTAACCGTTTTTTGGTCACGTACCATTTTTTGTGATGTATAAATTTTTTGGCTAAGTACCTCGTGTTTGACCTGGTGGTGACGTGCCTTGGTGATGAGCTACTTAGTGGCGAACTCCCTGGGGGAGAACTACTTGGTGACGAACTGCCTGGTGATGCTCCCTGGTGGCGAACTGCCTAGGGGCGAACTGCCTGGTGGCGAATTGCCCGGTGGCGAACTGCCTGGTAGTGCTCCCTGGCGGCGAACTGCCTGATGGCAAACTGCCTGGTGGCGAACTGCCTGGTGACGAACTGCCTGATGGCGAACTGCCTGGTGGCGAACTGCCCGGCAGTGCTCCCTGATGGCGAACTGCCTGGTGGCRAACTGCCTGRTGRCGAACTGCCTGATGGCGAACTCGTCACTTGACTTGCTCCTAGGCGGTCTGCAACTCAGAGGATGGTGGAGCACTCGCCGCGCGCAGGTCGCGCCAGGCCAGCCAGACCGGTGCCCGGGGGGAGACCAACTTGGTTGTTGCCTGGGCGCTTGCCTAGTTGTCACGAGGTGCCACGTGTCGCAATTTCACTGGAGGGCCAAATCTGCCCTCATCATGTATCAACTTAAATAAGTTTTGTGTGATCATGCTAAACTGGGTTATGAGCAATATTAATTGCTGCCTTATTATCACAAGACATTGTTCCTGAAACTGAAACTAGTTATCTTGAATAGAGGTGTTAGCTACTGTGTTGAATTTCCCCCTGGTTAGTTTCTCCACTTCTTTGGATTTTCAGCCAAATCCCAACATGTTCTTTTGTGTACCTTGGTCTCTCACAATGCGTACAACAGAATTGATCTTTATCATCTTCGTCTTGTTTCTTATTGAGCTCCATCTTATTTCCACTTCTTGTAGCAAAGGCAACTGGCTCCCCCTTTGTAGGAATCACTGTCATATGTCTGCTCTCTAATGACTATAGTAGAGCAATCTACTAAACTGTGTGTAGATCTCTAGTTCCCTAAATGTGAACCCAGATTGGTTATACTCTGTTGAGGAACAAGCTTTTTGTAGGCTGAGCTGCTGATGTGTCTTTCTCACTTTTCTAGTTGAATGTCTGATAGTAGTCAAATTCTTTCCACATTGAATAGTGGAGTAATAGGTAGATAGACTCATCTCTTCTTGTTGAGAAGATAATGACTCAACCTACAATGCATACACATGAGTAAAATGCTGTTGCTCAGAATTTGTAGACTTAGGTTCTGTTTGGTTGCACTGACATCTAACGTCTGAAAAACAAAATACTTTTGACAAAAATGCTAAAAGAATTTGTGATTTTCTGCCTTTTCTGGCATCTGAATGCAGAGAATGTTGTTTTGAAATCTGAATCTTGGTTTCTGTGAAATGACAAATTTTACCCTTGAGTAGGAAAATGTTTGGTAATTTGACTAGCAAATAATAGAAAATGGTTAAGAAAATTAAAATTATTAATTAATTATCAATAAATTAATTTATTAATTAACAATTAATAAATTAATCAAGCACTAATAATTTAACAGTGGATATGGTTTTAAATAGAACGGATTGGCAAAACAGGATTCATGTAGCTGACCCCATTAAGTTGGGATAAGGCATGGATGGCGATGATGAATTAATAAACTAATCAATTAATTAATGGCAAAACAGGATTCATGTGGCCAACCCCATATGGTTGGGATAAGACTTAGATGATGGTTATGATGATCACTTTCTGGTCCACATGAACCAAGAAATCAGAAGAGCAAGCCTGATAAACCCCCCATATGCCATTGATGGTTCACACAAATCAGAAATAGGACATACAGACCTGCTACACACATCTAGAAACTCTTCCTATTACCAAAAACTAACCTGCAGCAGAGATCAACGAATTGATCTATAGACTTCTTGATATGCGCACATCAGATCAATTCACCAGAGTGTCCATCTCCTCAAAATAAAAAGGTTTTGGTCACATGACCAATAAAAGATAAAAGAAATTTCTGTAGAGAGTGATCAGCCCAGGAGTGGTTCTTCTTTCTTCTTTCAATTTAAATGATATAAAATGAAGGAAATACAGGAGAAAGGAGAATTAAACTAATCTAACTTATTCTCTGATTCCATGTTTTCTGCAATAAATCAGTGAGATGAATTGTAGTATGTAGAGAGACGAGAAAACAAATAGTTTTGGTTTTTACAGCAATAAGAGAATGAGAGTGCTAATCAATACACTAAGAATTACAACAACAATGATGCAAACAGTTTTGGTTTTTACAGCTAAGCACACTTCCATCCCATTATTAGGCCCCGTGATGACATTTCAAAGCAATAACAATGAAGAAGAAACCCGGGAATGAAGTGAAGTGGCCTCCACCTCAGAGGCAACTTTGTTCAAATTTCCAAAAAAGTCCTTGTGTTCACTATCTGAAGCAATACCATAAGCCTGACTTTTCACCTTCCACCTTTTTTATATCTGCATAGTTGTCCCTGCTATTCATCTGCTCCACTGTCCACCCACGTGGGATATCACCAACAACGATCCTCAGCTCATACCATTCACCCACAAAGTAAAGCTTCACTGACACTGGAATTTGAATTACCGGCTTCACCTCAATAAGGATTCTTGCCACCACCAAGTCCATCCATGTCTGAATGTAGAAATCAATTTTTCCAAATATGCCACATGTATCATCAATTGATTTATATGATTTGCATACACCATGCGTGAAGTGGGATACCAAATACATTTATTTAGACTAATCAATTTCCACTGACATTTCTTAATGACCCCACCAGTGGATTCCAGCGGCCAAAGTGAAGCTCTGGTTCTCCAACTTGGTTCAATTCCCATATAAGCACCTTTTCTGCCTCTTCTTTACAACTTGAAATGAAAATAAAATGTCCAGAATTTAGTTTTCTAACTTGGATTTTTTATTAGTTTTCCAGACTGAAGTCACCCATCTCTCCAAGTCCTCTGACTTGGAGTTAACAAAATGACCAACCAGACATGAGTCCAGAAGCTTCAATTGATTTGAGAGTTTTCTTAGAGAAGTAACCTCCACATAAATTTATTTGGGTTGACTTTTCCCAGATGGAGATATAATGGACGAAAGCCTTAGGAACAAATTCTCATCTTCGTCATTTCAAAAATTTGAGAGTTGGATACCTTTTTGGGCATGCAGCTAGAAGTCTATTGGGCTGCCACACCATCTAGGAACTCTAGATGTGTTACATGGGTCCCACCCTAGGTCTTGATTAGTTATTTGGTTTGTGCTGGAAACCTGCAATTTCTTGAGTTGATTCCCTTGAGGCTCCAAACCTAATTTCTGTGTAGAGCATTACCATTCATGAGTTATGATTCGCGGTTAGCTGGTTGCAAGGTTGCATCTTTATGGAGTTGACTATATTTTACCTTCAGAACAGTATGCCAAAAAAATATTCCTTGTAGAAAACAGCAAGCTGATTAGGGTTTGAAAATGTAGTTCTAAATGACTGTCTTTTTTTTTTTGATCAATAACACTTTCATTAAATCATCAATAGAAGATTTACAAGAGGAAGACAAACACACTTATCTTCCAAGAGCAACAAAGAACCTCAAGAAAAGGAAAAAAGAAAAAGAAAAAAACACTAAAGTTACAGTTTAGCCCAAAATAGTGAATCCCTTTCTGCCCCTTGTTTAGCTAAACCGTCAGCTAGGGAATT